AATAAAGAAGAAATTATCACTTCTCTCTCACACGTGTACAATGTCGGATGTTTTGCACAGGTACAAAACACGGCCTTCATTAATTTTTTTTTGTCATTAAGTTTTCAAAAAGACTTTTGCATCGGTTAATTATAGATCATCGAAATGCGTGATCATGGGAAAGTTATGGAACTAGTCTTGAGTGCTCACAGAAGGTAAACACATTAAAAGTCATTTCACAGAATTGTGTTCCGTAGTATAGAGGTTTGCATTAGGATCCGAATCCTGGAACCCGTAGATGAGGCTACTACTGAAGAGTCACACAAAAATCTGAATGGCAGAAGAGCAGGAATCCGTAAGAAGGTGTGTCCTTATCATTATAATGTAGTGTTTGGATACTTACAGCGTTATGAATAGATCATGTCATGATCAGGTACCTCCGAAACCACCTTCTCCTCCTCCGGAAAGATCTTCTATACTGCTAGTTCGCACAGAAAATGTCATTGCAGAGCCAGCAGAAAGAAGCAACGAAACAAAAGCGAAGATGCAAGCAATTGTCCAAACGATACGGTAAGTTAAAAATTCCATTTTTTCCATATAATCGCAAAATCCTGCAGCAATAGTCGATGATGCAAAAATATGAGAAAACTCTGACAACTTTAAAGACTTTTCTATAGCACTTATTTTCGTAGAAATAAAACGGTTACCTTCTTTTTGCACAACCACCTAACAAGCAAAATGTTTTTGTCTACAATATTAACTTGCTTGTGTAAAAACTTGAACGATCGGTACATCAGTAAATGCTAGTCTTACAGTGATGTGGTACAGTACAGCGCTCTCTTTGGACAACAAATCAACCTTCTTTTACATCCCTCTCAAAATGTGATAGAGAATCCAGTTTATTTGTGTGACTTGGTTGCGACGTTGGTACAGTCGGCTGACACGAAAGAGCTTCAAGAAATGATGGAAGAAATAAACGTAAGCGTTTTTATTCGGAATTAAATGGTTTTAGAGTGCGCTCTTATCTGTGTGCTAATGTTCTAGGTTTCACGGCGTCTTGACAATGCTCTGGTATTGATCCAAAAAGAGAAAACTGTAGCTAAACTGAAGTACGACATTAATAAGGACGTGGAGAAGAAAGTTCAGGACCAACATAGGAAGTATCTGCTCAATGAACAGGTTTAAATTGAGAATTGTTGCATTTGCTATTGCTCTGCTCTTTGTTCCCTGATTATGCTTGTCTAATTAGGATTTAAGCTCAAAGTCATCAAGAAAGAGTTGGGTCTTGAAAAGGATGACAAGTCTGCGATAATAGAGAAAATGGAGGAACGATTGAAGGACCTGAAAGTTCCGGAATATGCAATGAAAGTAAGCATCTGTTTTTATTCCGTCCACCTACGCAACTCCAGCTTTTTACAGGTCATTAAGGAAGAGCAACAAAAGCTGCAGTTTCTTGATCCGCACTCCAGCGAATTTAGCGTAACTCGGTAAATATCTCTAACTTTTTGATTTCATCTGCTTTTAGAAATGTAAGCATTTGATCTCTTCTGCTTTAGAAATTATCTCGATTGGCTCACTAACGTACCATGGGGCATAACATCTGAAGAAAATTACGATTTACAAAAAGCAAGAATTGCGCTTGATCAAGGGCATTACGGCATGAAAGACGTCAAGGATCGTATTCTCGAGTTCATTGCTGTGAACATGCTGAAGTAAATACTGTTGCGTATTTTTTAACAAATTTCATAGCTGCTTTGCTTAGGAAGCACGTAGGAGGGAAAATACTTTGCTTACATGGACCTCCAGGCACTGGAAAGACAAGCATTGCTAGGTCGATTGCTCAAGCGTTGAATCGAGAGGTTCTCCGAACTT